TATTACTATTTACAAATTTCATATAATTATCATCCTCTATCAGGGTGTTTTCGTGGATTCCTTATTAGCTCCTCTCCAAGTTGCTCAGCATATCCCAGCATGCATTGGTCTATCCAAGACTTGTGGTCAACGTGAAGTGTTCCTCCAAGACTCTCAGGAATACAATCCAAACTCAAATGTTTCTTTATTGCTGATCGGGAGACGATTTGTATGTTTTTATCTCGCAACAAAGTTGTGAAAAACTTGAGTTCTGATTCCACCCAAAACGGTGGGGAAATGATGAAGGTTTTAGTGAGGCGAACTGGATACTCGTCCTGCAAGAAAGGAGTAGTAGTGTTATTATGACGAATGATGTGACGTCATACCACTCGATCATCATTATCATCCAATAACATTACCAACCAGTACCACCATGATATATCATTATCAATACTACAATTACGAGTGTCATCATCATCATATTGTATGCATCACCCCCATTATAACAAGAATTCATCATCATCACCATCGCTATCATCGGCGTCAATCATTCTTTCACTGATAGTTTGTAAAGACGATTTTGTTTACCTTGAGCAATTTGATAATATTGACACACAGTTGCGAATCGCTTGTCAAATATGACGTATTGGTAAAGTCGTACAGTAGTACCATGCCATTGGTTTGTGTCTGTGGACTGTTATAATAATAAAATTACATGAAAGGTCTAAAAATGGATCGTGCAAATTTATTTTCAAAGTAGCTTGGTTTTAATGGTATCAAAAATCTTCGTTTTAATGGGTAATAATAATAACGTATTAGTACAAAAGGTTGAGTCGATCATTAATATCACGTGGTACCTTTTAAGTGCCTCGTTTAGTTGTAAGTAAATACTCGTCAACACAACGTTGTGTTTTCGTTCACGGGAATTTCGTTGAGCCGTGAAAACACCAATGACTGCTCCTTTGTCGTTACGCTTGTTCTACGAAAAGAATTTAAAACGAACATTTCCATGTTATTCCTTTAATTGTAGAAAAATGAACGATACATGAGTTGGTGTATTTCATCCCTCCCAAACCTCTTCCATAAACTCTTGATTAAAGCAGGGAGGGGTATAAACATAATTTATTCAACTTATTATTTGCGCAAAAACTCTTGTTGTTAGCAAAGCATAAGACGGTACTTACAAGCATTGTAAACCTTCCAGAAAAAAGTTCTTCCTTCAAGGGAGGTCTTGATGGCGAGAAATCACTTACGAAATACAACTTTCTCTGCATCTGAAACGACAACAAGACCTAAATGGCATTTCTCACAGGGAGTGGCAAACTGTGTGGAAAATTTAACCGAAGACTACAGTGATTAACGCATTCGCGTCTTCTGCCCTGTTTGACTATCTTTCTTTCTTAAGTATCTTTCTATCTTGTTTATATAYCAATATCAATTATCTATGAAAATGAAATAAAATTAAAATCTTACCATGTACTTGTGGTACAGTTCTACTGCATCATCGACATCAAAATCTCTCGCTCTGAGAAACTTCACAACAAACGCAGTGCTGATTGGGCTGAGWTGAGAYATCTCGCGAYRTYGRTTGATCTCCGYCATYGCAGCTTTTATCATTTGATTCTGCAATGAAAAAAGGAATCTTTGTWARCTYTYATRCYAGTGATAACTACAGCGTTCAAGTKCATATTGTTACCTCCAGCTCTTCGTCTACTTTCAGCTTTCTTGACGWTATCYTGTGGATGTCATGGTGTGATTCTTGAAGTATTTCATCTTCAGATGCTGACAAAGGAAGATCGCAGTCCTGGTTCTGGTGATCATCTTGTGTATTTACCAAGGTATATTCACCCCTTGTGTCATGGGATTGGCGTGAGCCCTGTTATAAAGAATGATTAGTACTTTGATGGAAATAACTGACTGGGACATCTCGAGATGACTTACCTCATTTGGCATTCCTTTAAATGGTAATGTGTTCATAAGTTTCTTGAACAATTGACTTGTAGCGTCTTTGCCGACTGTGGTGATTAAAACAACAGCAAATAGGTTAATCTTAATGATAAATTGATATTTCGGTTGCAATTTAGATTATTGATTGATTTGACGGTACACCATTATTGACTAGTATGTATACTAGCTTGAAGTATTGTGTATAAAGATTAAAAATGACTTGTAAACATTTCTTCAAACTCACCTTGAATCAAATCTTTTCTGTCCTTTCTTCCTTCACAAAACCCTATGCCAGGAATTCCACCACAGGCTTCATTGGTATCACAGGAGGTAAGTTTGGATAATTCCTCTTTTTCGGCTTGYGAACTACTTATTTTGACAAGAGCTTCCTCTGTGTTATCTGGCTCCTTGCTTGGCTCATCGTCACTCGATGTGAAGCCAGACAGGTCCTCTTTRGCAAGTGAAACCAATGAACGATCTTTCTTCACTTCGCAGTCAGTGAGAAGCTTTAAAGGCTGAGCAAATGGTACAGACTCTTCCAACTGTGCGTCTTTTTTCGTTATCGACACAACTTTCTCTTCTTTGTCAAGGATAATCSTTGAGCCACCTGCTTCTAGTTTGGCTTGTGAGGCAATCGTCACTTTCCGCTCAGGATGAAATGCCTGACTTGAGGACGAATCTGTTTCGTGTGCCTGTTGACTCGCAATTTGGGCTCGTGTTCCCTGGTAAAGAGTTGGGTCGTTGTCATGTTCAGAATGCAGAACCAAGTCATGGATATCGCTGTCATCAAGCACAGTAGTGACTAATGAAAGTCGTTCGCGACGGCTAAGGGGATGTCGGGACATGTCTCTCTGCGTAAAGTCCAAGCACTTCCCTGTTATTTGATTCTTGAAGACAGGCTGGAATTGCGGCTCGGTCAATCTTTTCTTGGCAACACTTTTTTGCTTCTTGTTTTTAAACATTTGAATGGCAGGTAGCCGGTCCTCATTTTTACGTCTAGACGTCTGCTCGCCTCTTGCTGAAGCTTGGGAATCACACTTGACAGATGGATCTTCCCTCTTGGATTCTTCTTCGTCAGTTATAAAGAAGCTCTTTGCTTCTTTGACTACAAAGACMCCTGAAGTCGACGCTTTGTTGAGGTCCGAACAATCTGACGTGYTTACATTTAAAACAGTGTCGTGTTTAAGAAGATCAGTTTCTGAACGCACTTTTTTCACATCATGTCTTTCATCGGTGGCCAGAACCACACAGTCATTTCTTTCCACTTCACGACAAATTGATGATCCTCGTTTGATATCAACTTGGTTGTATGASAAGKCGTCAGTGTTGTGCGCTTGCTGAGTAGAACCCATGTGATTTTCTACCGCTTTGTTCTGCGTTGCCTGGTAAAGCATTTCGTCTTCATCATGCTCACGACGAAGGACCARATCATGTATGTCATTGTCATCAAGAACAGTGCTAACTAATGAAAGTCTTTCGCGTCGGCTTAAAGGATGACGGGAAACATCTCGATGAGTAAAATCCAGGCAGTTTCCTGTAATCTGGTTCGTAAAAATAGCTTGGAACTGCGGATCTCTAAGCCTTTTCTTGACGCTTCTCCATTGCTTCTGTTTGTGGGAACCTGAAGAATTGACTTGAACGTTTTTGGTGTCCTCGTCACTGGYTCCAGGTGTACTCTTAGCGACTTTCTCCACAACACCGTCCGCTATGCATTGAATATCCTCTACATTTGTCTGTACTTCGTCCTCTATGAACACCGTTATAGGAGTGGCAGTCGGGACGTCCTTCTTGACATCATCAACCGTGGAGGTAAGGACATCCTGTGCATCGTCATCACAAGTTTGAGGTGCTGTCTCCTGGACTTCGCCCTTAACAATCTCATCAGTGGAGCTAGGCATCTCCTTGTCAATGACATCACTAGTTTGAAGCCCTGTCTCCTGCACGTTTTCCTTTGCAATCACATGAGTCGAGACAGCCACATCCTTTGCAGCGCCTTGATCATTAGTTTGAGCTGCTTCCTTCAGGACTTCGTCCTTGACCATGTCTTCATTGGAATGAGGGACATCCTTTGTGCCCTCATCACTAGTTTGAGCTGCTTCCTTCAGGATTACGTCCTTGACCAGGTCTTCAGCGGACGTAAGGACATCCTTTGCGTCCTCACCACTAGTTTGAGCTGCTTCCTTCAGGATTTCGTCCTTGATCAAGTCTTCAGCGGAAGTAGGGACATCCTTTGCGTCCTCATCACTAGTTTGAGCTGCTTCCTTGAGGACTTCG